ATGGTTTTCATGCCGCTATCGATGGAAATCGTTTTGGTTTTCAAAGGATGGACAACAAGGTTAAGGATGGACTAGTTCTAAGTGTCGTTTGGCGTTGGAGAGACACTTAGAGTAGTTTAGGACTTTGTTTTTCCTTTGGCCATACTATTAAGGGGTATGAACTAGTAGCTTGACCTAGGAGAGTCTAATGGGTTAGGTGTGGTGCACACTTGTTAAACTTAGCACTAGGTAGCTCAGGAATAGCCCTAAGATCGATTAGAGTCAAATTCATTCAAAAAGGATCTTGAATTGGAAGTGAATGGAGGGTCAAATGATTGATCGGACGCTGATTTAGTGTTGACCGGACTCACAGGTGCTGCGTCCGGTCAATGTTCAGCGCGCACAGTAGAAGCCAAGGAGAGACCAGACGCTGCGCATTGATTGGGACCGGACGTGCTGGTGTCGACCAACTATAGCAGCTAGGTCTCAGTGTTGATGAAGGATCGGACACTGAACAGTGAATGATCGGACGCTGTGTTTGCATCGTCCGGTCAACATCAGTAAGGTTCCAGAGAGGAAATTTGAGGACCGGACGCGTCAGGTCTAGGAGGATTGGACGCTCATCTGCGTCCGGTCACTCCAACGGCCCTCTTTGATAGGGTGAAGCCACGTAGCCATTGGCTACTGACCGGCGTGTCCGGTTACATGGACCTGCGGGTCCGGTCACCCTAAAAAATGCTAAGTTAGACCCCAACCGTTATGTTTTGAATGGGTAGGTATAAATACATATCCTACTTGTCCAATTGAGCTTCTATTGCCCATTTGTTCAGCTGAGAAACACCTTTGGAATGCAAGGGAGAGCAAGAGTCGAGTGGAGTGATTGAGATTTGATAATCCAAGATTAAGGACCTCATTAGTGCATAGGGAGTAGCAAGTGTGCATCCACCTTTCTCATTAGGCTTGTCATGGTCAAGTGAGAGTTTGTGCTTGTTACTCTTGGTGATCACCATCACGTAGACGGCTCGGTGGTGATTGGAAGCTTGATGATCATCCGGCGGAGCTTGTGGATGACCGAAGTCATGGTGTGAGCGGTTGTGGGTGATTCACCGCGATAGAGTGTCAAAGAATCAGCCCATAGAGAGCACTTGATCCTTGCGCGGATCAAGGGGGAGCTACACCCTTGTGCGGGCGCTCCAATGAGGACTAGTGGGGAGTGGTGACTCTCTGATACCTCAGAAAAATATCGCCGCGTTCCTCTCTCTCTTTACTTTGAGCATTTACATTTGAGCAATTCAATTCATGTCTTATATTCTTAGAATTGTCATGCTAGAGTAGGATTGGAACCTAGGATGCAAAACTTTTATGCAGTAGAACAATAGAAACACTTCTAGGCACAAGGGGGTCAAATGGGCTAAGTATAGGGCTTAATTAATGAAAGAAATTTAGAATTAGCCCAATTCACCCCCTCTTGGGCATCTTAATCCTTTTAGGCCCAAATCCATTGCAAACAACCTCTCAAATGCCGGGGTGAAGACCTATAAGATAGGCTCTCATTAAGTGCTTCCACTTGGCAAAGTTAGTCCCTTTGAAATGAGGTAACTTGCCCGCGAGCACATTGATGAAAGACTTCCGATCAAGATTAGTCATAGGCATACGGTGGCATATTTGTTGTTGGAGTCGACTTTGCCCTTTCCTTTCTTTTCCTTCTTGCCCCCCTTTGACACTTGGTAGGACTCATTATCATCTCCATCTTCGGAACTACTTGAGATGTCACTTGATGATACATTGGTTTCCTTCTCTTCTTCTTCCTTCTTTTCTAGCTTCTCTTCTTTTTCTTCTTGCTTCTCTTTTGAGCTTTCTTCCTTCTTTTCTTTGCTTCTTATCTTCAAGCCTTTGCTGCTCCTTCTTTTCTCTTGCTTCTCTTTTTGCTTTTCTAGCTTCCTTCCTTTTTCTTCTTTCTTCATCATTTTGAGCTTTCTCGGTATCGATAGCCTCAAACTGTGGGAGTGTGATATTGCTTGTTGTAGAAGCACCTAGCTCGCTGCTGTCGGTGTCATGCAACTCCACATCCTCCGGATCAACGTCCACCGGCTTCACGCCACTAGTACCTCCTTCGGGCTCCATACCTCACGCGGTGAAGCGCACACGAGGTAACCTGCTCTGATACTAGTTGTAGGATCTCTGTTAGCCTAGAGGGGGGTGAATAGGCCTGTTAAAACAAAAACTCAAGTAGATGTTAAATTTCATCCGTGGCACTGCCGCTCTGACCTCGTGGCACTGTCGGGCTATAAGAACGGCACTACCGCACCTGTAGACAACTTCAAATCACAGTTCAAAATCAGTGAATAGAAACTTAGATCAGAAAAAATCCTTAGCTTCCTGTAGGTATGAGGTTCACAGATCGAGACCTAGGAGTGGTAGGAACTCCATACACAAGTAGATCGGCCACAAACCCTAGAATCTACCTCAACAACAATGTGAAATGCAAGTGAAGTAAATCAAGCATAAGGTGACACAATAATTTATCCCATGGTTCAGCTCGCCACTAAGGCTCACCTTGTGCTTGATTTACTTCACTTACATTTTACATTATTGTTGAGGTAGAATATAGGGTTTGTGGCTGATCTACTTGTGTGTGGAGTTCCTATCACTCCTAGCTCTCGATCTGTGAACCTCATACATGCAGGAAGCTAAGGAATTTCTCTGATCTAAGTTTCTATTCACTAATTTTGAACTATGACTCGAAGTTGTCTACAGGTGCGGTAGTGTCGCTCAGTGGCAGTGCCTCTTTCCAGGTGCGGCACTGCCGCACAAGGCAAGACAGCAAGGGTAAGAGTGAAGTGCTGGCTGTCTTGGCTGAGTAACTGAGGATGTAGGTGTAAGATAGAGCACTTGGTAGCACATGTTAGCTCAAGCATTATGTCCCCTTTACAGTACGGCTTTTCCTATACTCAAAATCAAAATATAAAAGAATTTAAACCTCCTTTGAGTTTGAAGCCATTGATATTTGTAATTGGGGTACCTCTGTTTCGTATAACATCCTTGATTATATATTTTCTGCTTGTCGTCTGAATAAATATCATTAGTCCTCTAATTGCGTTGTCATTATCACCAAAACCCACAATTAGGGCTTGATTGCACTTTCACTACTCCCACCTAGTCAGGTAAGTCTTGCAAAGTATATTGTGTACTCAGGGTTTTATTTCCCCTGTTGCAGGTAGCAGGTGGATGCTAGAGCTGACTATTGTGTGTGGATACCTCCTGGTGGGCTCAGCGAGGAAATCCTTCCGCTGCGATTGTAGTAGTTTTACTCTTATATATTTCTACTCCTACTTCAATATTCAAAATTGTTTACTTCCACTGCTGCTTATATAAAATCTGTTTTAATTCTGATTTTATGTAATCTTGTGATGTATGAAATGGTTAATAAATGATGTAAGCTTTATTCACTTTGTTTATGATCCTGATGAAAACGTGGATTTTTCGAGTCCTCTCGTGGGGTGTGCTTGATAGACTACTGGGTTTAACTTGATCTCTTGTGTACTTAGTGTCAAATGGCTGACAAGTACACTTGGAATTATGGTTAAACTGGGCGATTCTACCACAACCGTGTGGGTGCCTGAGACCGACAAACGCCTCCGCGGCATGCATCCGCAAGCGGGGCAGATGACTAGAACTCACGTAGCGCCTGGGGATGGGCGCAGTGCGCGGGATGGGCTGCTGGAGCGTGGGATGGGCACGGATGCGGCAATGCGGACACGGTGGCACTAACGCTGGATGGGATACATTCGGGTCGTGGGATGCGATGCGAGATAACGCGTGGTAGCTGCGTCCGGACGCGCCGTCCGTCCAGACGTCCAAACGCTAGCCCTTGTATATTTAAAATAGGTTCTCAAACATTTTTAAAAAACAAGAGACTTTCTTTAAAAAATTATAACTTTTTTTAATAAAGTCTAATCGATCTCTTTGAACTATCAATGTGGTTCCATTATCTCTCTCGCAGCTGATATGGGTGCCCCAAAACTACTTTTAAAACCACACAGAAGCAAATTTGAACGGCTTAAAAAACTAGATAAGATCAGTAAATCGGTAAGAGAGAATCGTGGCCGAGGATCAAGCGAATATTTCCTTTTAGCTTAGAACAACCTGATTGGGCTGAGAGAATCATAGCCTAGGATGGCCCGTTTGGTCGTTTGACTTTGTTTTATCTATAGAGCAACGAATAATTCGTCTACATTTTAGTTTCCATTGTTGTAGAGGATTCAATACGCGCCATGTGATCTTAATTAGCATTTCTTCATCAATGAATTCTTGCATCATACATAAAGGCTTATCCGCAACAAAACCTTAAACAATTCCTTTGTCTCAGCATGAAATGTTTTACAACATTTTATTATAAGTCGGAGGGGGGGGGATACACTTTCGGATTTTGTTGGTGCTAAGAGTACAAAGCGCTAGCTATTACAAAGCACCAAATCATGGCAAACTGGCAATGTTCTTGCCATCTCGTGGTAGCTGGGCACCCCGTTGGTAAGCTTCAGCTCGTCGTGGTTCACGGACAACACCACAACCAAGAGGCTGAACTCCGCGACCTCCACTCCAACGGTGATTATTAAGCTTTGAAGTAGTTTTGCCGATCAGGCCAAATGTTAACATTCTTAGCTGAACAGGATGATGTTTTCTCTAAAAATTGCGTTGAAAACATTCTTAACCAAATTGTACAATACCATCTTCGTCCACAAAAGAATATAATTCTCGTTTCTCAAGGAGTCAGACAGTTTAAACTTTGACTAAAGTTATATAAAAGTACTAATATTAATGATATGAAACAAATATTATTAGATTAATTATGAAATATATTTTTGTAGTAAACTTTATTGAAGATAAAAAATGTTAACACTATTCGTTATACAATTGGCCAAACTTAAACCAGTTTGACTCGCACAGCTAACATAGTTGTGTTCTTTATGGATGGACGGAGTACATATATCATAGAACTACTTATAAAAAATATATGTACATCAAGCGAGGAATTCTGCCACGTCATCCAGCGACTTCAACGTCTTCTCGTAGAAGAGGTAGGACTCGTAGACCTTGGGAGTCCGCACGAAGCGATCGAACTGCACACGACACGCGCAAAATGCAGGACGCGAAATTATTTGAGAAAATTTAGATTTCAGAGGCACTTAGCAGAGCTGTACAGCTGAGACCTTAGAGGCACAGCACAGGCTGTAATGTACGATTGAACCCACATACCTCCGTCATGTTGTCGACGAGCTCGTTCGCGACGCGGACGTAGTCAGCGCGTCGGCCGACGGGGACGCCGGCCATGGCGGTGGTGAGGTCGAGGCCGAGGTACTTGGACTTGAGGCGCACGTAGAAGAGCACGTACTTCCACGACATGGTCTCCAGCATGGGCCGCAGCGTGCGCATCCCCTCCGCTGTCTGCCGGATGCGCGCGGCCGCCTCCTCCGCGGTCAGCTCCGGCTCGAAGTACCGCTCCCGCACGTACGACCTGGTGCCCCACCGCGGCACGGTCCCGCCGGGCGTCGTCGTCGGCACCGCGGCCGCCTCCGCGGCCATCGCGGGCGGGGGCGGCGCGGGCCGGCGCGCGGACAGCGCCGCCGTGGCAGCCAGCGCCGTGGACGCGGCCACCGCCAGCCGACGCGTGGTGGACTGCGGCGGCGGCGGCGGCGCCTGCTGCCTGTCCGTGCCTGCGGTGGCGTCGGGCGGCGGGGGCCGCCGCCGGCGTTGTGAGGGGGACGAGGAGCAGAGGATAAGGTGCCTGGCGAGCGTAGCCATGGCGAAGCAGGCGCGAAGCTGGGTGGAGTGTGGTGCAAGTGACAGTGTGAGTGGAGTACTGGGGCTGGCTGTAGGAGTGTCTAGGACAGTAGCTGGTAGCCGCCGGTAGGAGATGGTTTTTCTGAGGTTGGAGGGAAGCCCGGCGCGTTGCAGATATTATTATCCGCATTGGAGCCCTTTCGGCCGTGAATGCGCGCGCTTTTTCGTCTTTTGGTTCTGAGGTTCAGAAATGGATAAGGTGATCTAGCTATTATGTGCTAGCTGTTTGGTTGACGTATTTGTAACGTGATTCGATTACATGGGTACGGAACAGATGACGTTAAATCATGTTTGTTTATTTAAGTCCAGCCATATTCAGATCACACTGGAACTTATACCGGCCTATTCAAACTTGTTACTGCTGGCACTTGACTCATGAGTGTGAATCGTTGCCAGCCGTGCGGTCGTTGTCTTCTTGGTTGTTCCCATTCAGGGAATCAGGGGTCTTAAGCAGAGGCTCCGCTCTCAGACAACTTCAATACGACCGGATGAAGATGATTTTTATATAAAAATTGTAGATCTCGGTGATATCTACAACTTTCTAGTTTTAAGTTTTTTAATTTGAGGACGTTAAGTTGCTCAAAAAATAATATAAAATTTCAGCATCATAATAGCACTTGCCGCATTAGAAAAATAATATATTTTTTGTATGGAGTCAAATGAAGATACTTTTTATACCAAAGTTGTAGCTCTCAATGAGATTTACAACTTTGTAGTTTTGAGTTTTTTCATTTGAGGACGTTAAGAGGCTCAAAAAAATAATATAAAATTTCGGCGTCTCCCGAAAATAGAAAACCGCTTTTGAAACCAGCCGAGGACCAAATTTGTCCGGTTTTGATAGTTGGAGGGTGTTTGTTACCCGGTTTCATAGTTGGAGGTTGAAAAATGTACTTTACCCTTTTTTATATATCTAGACATATTATAACATCAACATGTATAGAAAAATAGATATACTTAAAAACTCAAAGTGACTTATAATTTCGAACAGAGGAAGTAGTATGCTATGGATGCAACTGCTACTTGCTCACTTGGAAGAGTGTATGCAGTATGCCTTTGCCGAAAAACTGCCGCTTAGAAGAGGGTATGCCATTGCCGAAAAACTGCCTTCATGTTGGCAAAGTGAAACATTAATGTGCCATTTAAAAATGATATTATCCGCGATGAAAACATTTTCCTGCATTACTTGAAAGTCAAAGTTTTGATTCTGAACTGGTTTTGTCACGTTTTGCTCAATACATATAGAAGACCACTTCGAAATCCTAAGTTCAGACGATTCGCTGAGTGTTTTCATCACTTAGCTTATTTGCGGTTAATTTCTGAACTGAGAGGATCCAGACACCTGCAACACAAGCTGAGGATGTATTAGATCGCAAACTCTAATACGCGACGGTCGCGGGGAGCGCGCGACCATCGTCCTCCTCGCGCACGCACACTCGCACGGACCTCCGCGAGCTCCCTCCTGCGCCTGCTGGCAGTTCCGACGAGCTAGGCCGGTTCCTTCTCCTCCTCCTGAATCTTAAGCAGAAGCTCCATGCTCAGGCCATTGAAAAATCAAAACCTTGCTGCTGAGCTTAAGCCAACGTGAAGCTCTAGATTGACAGGCTCCATGCTCGTATTGGCATTTGTAAGTAATTTTGTTAAACTCTAGCTGCTGCACAAGACTGAGTGCGCTCTCCATTTAGTGCTGCTTCCCGACCGAAATTATTTGACTAATCAGCTTGTTCAAATAAATATTGCAGACCGACAGGCTAAATATTATTGAACAAATACAAATATCTTGTCCTTCAGATGACAATACTTATAAGAGAAACTAGTATCTTTTCTTGGTAATGACTTCTTTATGCACGACCGTAAAGAAGTCCAGCCGTGCACACTCCCTCTCTCACTCACATGCACGCTCGTGTCGGTCTCTCTCACTCGACTTGCTTGGTCTCTCTCTCTCCTCGGCAACCAGTGACCGACGGACTCCTTCCCACTGCTGCAGAATTTGTTTTGTGCAGCGTTTCACTTTGGAGCTCCTGGGCGGGCGGTCTGGTTGCCCGTCTCAGGTATTCGAGGCCGCGCAGCTAGGCTAGCAACCGTCTCGGTTAGTCCTTAACCGAGGTGGGCACTATAAAGAAACCGCCACGGTTAATGTGGACGCAACCTCCTCGGTTAATGGATTAACCGAGACGGTTGTTATAAAGCAACCGCCTCGGTTAATCTGCATTAACCGAGGCGGTTTCGTTATGGTAACCGCCTTGGTTAATCACGTTTGATCTAAAGCAACCGCCTCGGTTAACGGACGATTAACCGGGGCGGTTTTCTTATAGTGCCCACCTCAGTTAAGTCTGGGCTATAAATACAGCCTCACCCACCCTTCTTCCCCACGGCTTCTCCTCTATTTTTCCGGGTTTTGACCTCAAAACCCTAAAAAAATACCATTTTCTAGGGGGAGAGGTTTTGTCCTTAGATTTGGTGAAGGGGGGCACCGCAAGAGGTTGATTCTCCGTCTCAAACCCTCAATCCTCTCTCTTTTTCATGATTTGGACGCTTTTTCTCAAGATCTAGATCTAGATCTATTTGGAGGAGAGAGAAATCATCAGATCTAGAGCTACCCGACTGACTTTTTTCCGTACTGGTCTGCTTATATGCGCCATTTTCGTTGTTTGTGTATGCAAGGTGTTCGCGGTCATGGACAGGGAATGGATGCACAAGACATCGAGGCTGCATCTAGCTTTCCTAGATCATGTGACAAAGTTTATTGCCGCTGCGAAAAGGCATCGTCTGAGTCTGAAGCGGGAACTCACCATCTGTCCGTGTAAGAGCTGCAAGAACCTTCTTGCCCACGGAGATGACACGGTGAAATCTCACTTGATCCGATACGGTTTTGTCAAGGATTACACCGTCTAGAAGTTTCATGGGAAAGCAGAGGATCCGAGTGCCGGTGCATCTGGAGGAGGGAACTCGTCGACAGCGACGACGACGACAGTGAATGCCGAACAACAAACCTCATCAGCAGCGGTCGGCGGGCACGGCAATGCTGCTACTGGCGACAATGCAGATCATGATTATATCACGATAGATGATCTGCTCAAAGACACGGCTGACTACGATGATGGGGATGGCGGTGAGCCAGTGAGGGATCCCGAAACTGTAGACCTTTTTGAGTGAATCGCTAACCGTCTTGACTACGATGACGTTTTGTTTGGGAGCCCGAGGTGGCTGGAGAATTTCATAGAGATGAAGCAGGCGGCAATTGATCCCCTCTATAAGGACTGTCCGAAGCACTGGACGACGCTATGTTTTAACCTCCAGATGCTGATGCTAAAGGCTCGCCATGGCTAGTCTAACACTAGCTTCAATGACCTGTTACGTTTCCTTGCTGACACATACCTAGAGGGTAACAAGGTGCCCGCCAATACCTACCGAGTGAAGAAGTTGATCTGGCCAGTGGCGATGAAGCATAAAAAGTTCCATGCCTACCCTAACCACTATATCATATATTGGGGCAAGTATGAGAACTTGCAAAGCTATTCGCACTGTGGCGCGAGTCGGTACAAGAGGAATGCCGGTTGTCGCACGGATACGGACGACAAGAGAGGGCTGAAGAAGAAGAAGGCGACCAAGAAGAGTACCACGAAGAAGTAGATCCCGTCTCCTGAGGACGAGGAAGAAGAGGGTTACACGCAAAGGAAAAGTCTGGCCCTATCGATGTGGTACCTGCCCGTGATCGATCGCTTACGTGCTATATTTGGGAACCCTAAGGATGCCAAGTTGATGTCCTAGCATGCATCTGATGAGCGCACGAAGGACGATGGCAAGCTGCGGCACCCTTCCGATGGCAAGCAGTGGAAGCATTTCAACGCCAAGTTCTGGAAGTTTGGCAACGAGGCGAGGAACGTCAGGTTCGCGCTGAGTACCGATGGGATGAATCCGTTCAGTGACCTCAACAGCTTGCACAACACTTGCCTGGTCATCCTCACCATCTACAACCTACCTCCTTGGCTATGTCAGAAGCGTAGGTATCTTTTACTAACCATGATTATTTCTGGACCTAGGCAGCCAGGCAATGATATAGATGTGTCCTAGAGCCACTCATGGAGGACATGAAGACACTATGGGAAGATGGGGTCAATATGATGGATGCGTCCCTAAAGAAGGAGTTCACTCTAAAAGCCATCATCTTTGTCACCATCACCGATTACCCTGGTCTTTTTTCACTGTCGGAGCAGATCAAAGGTAAGTCAGGTTGCGTAGTTTGCATTGACGGTACCTGCTACACTTACCTTAGTGCATCCAAGAAGATGGTGTACATGAGGCATAGGCGATTCCTCATCAAAAAGCACATGTATCGTGCAACTATGATGAATAAGTACTTCGATAACCAGGACGAGCCTGAAACTGATGAGCCAAAAAGGATGAGGTACGGGCAAAAGGTGTTTGACATTGTGAAGGGCATAGACGTTGAGTTCGGGAAGAAGAAGAAATAGGAAGATGGGACCACGACAAGGAAGAGGAAGTGGGATAAGATGGAGGAACCACCTATCGCCCCCATTCCTTTCAAGAAGCAGTCGTGTTTCTTCAAGTACCTGTCGTATTGGAAGGAGCTAGATACGCCCCATGCCATCGACTGCATGCACCTCGAGAAGAATGTCTTCAAAAGCACCATTAGCGTACTATTAGACATCAAGACTAAGACAAAGGATGGTCTGATGTCACGGATGGATCTTGTCAACTAGGACATCAGGTCCGAAATTCACCCGACACCGGCGATGCAGAGAGGGAAAGTCGACCTTTCGGGAGCGAGCTACAACCTGACGAGAGATGAGAAGAGGGCCGTGTGCCAGTGGCTTAGGGGTGTCAAGGTGCCGATGGTTTCTCTTCCAACATCAAGAGCTTGGTCTCGATGAAGGACCTCACACTAACCAGCTTCAACGCACATGACTGCCACGTCATGCTCACGGTGTTCCTTCCAATTG